TGTGTGTGTGTGCATACATCTGCCGCGAAAATGTTTCCACCATTGCTGGCTTTAGACGTTGCTCCGCGACCGACGGTTGTGTGTTTGTGGGTTTTCTCGAGGGTCTTGGACGCTTAAAGGCTCCTCCGGTGTCACGGCGCTGCGTGAGGAGACCGACGGTAATATTTTTAGAGATTATTTTGTCTTCAATGTCAGTTGTTGCGTGACAGCTTGAGGCTTCGTCGGCAGCCTGCCACGGTCGGAGAGCTACATATATCCCCTCTTGTTTGTTATTATTATTAACGTGAAAATGCGTTTACCTGCCGTAAGTGTGTCATTGAGTATGGGTGAGTGTAGCGGCAGGATGTGGGGCAGTAAGAGCATTAAAATCTCTCAGTTAAATGGGCAGGTTTTTTTTTTTTTTTTTTCCTTCTCTCGGTAGCAAGCTTAGTTAGCCTGCTAGCTCTGGCTATATGGGTTGCTCACTTGCGGGTTGTATAACGAACACCTGTGGCATTAAAAGGTATATTGAATATGTTACTGTGTGCTCTCTGTTCGCGAATGGCTATTTTGGTCGAGTGCAGTACACGGTGTCCACTCGGCCGTGTGGCTGATATGAGTGTTTATTCATTGTCACTGGAGTACAGTAAGCAGGGTCGACCAGTGAAGCTCAGTCCGACGAGGCTTCACTTACTGGCCATCAGCTATACGTGACTGTAGGTCAGCTAGTGCTTCCCTAAGGAGACCCTTAGGTGTTACGCAGAAATGTGTGCCCCGTCAGATTCAGTGACCTGTAGGGACCACTGTGGAGTCCTTTTAACCCAATGACTGGATCTCACTGTTATCGGCCCCTAAAATTAGTGCAATAAGATAGTACAGCATAATGTTTTCTATAGGTTTTACTGTACCCACTCTGACCCTCCAGTCTACTGTCATATCTTACAGCAAAACCCTCTCAGATGGGGTTCATAGGGACACGTTGGGGTCCAGGTTGGGGTTTATTGTAGGGCTGCACTGTTAATCGAGATGTTATCGAAATCGCAATATGACCTAGTGCAATATGCAGATCGCAGAAGCTGCAGTGTTTTGGATAAAGATAATTTATGTGAGAAAACAGCATTATAATGAGGTATGGCCTGGCCTACAAATCCAGTTCCAACATATCCCAGTTACAGATTCACAACCTTTATCTTGTGTGATGAAATATGAATATTTAAGCACTCTGAAGACGTCACCATTGGAGAAAACAATCGGCCATATCAATAGATGATCAAAAGAATGAAGCTGAAATGATTAGTCTATTAATCTTGAATTAGTCTATCTAATCAGCAACTATTTTAAAAAATGATTAGTTAAGTAATTAAGTGGATCTTTTCAGCAAAAACTCTGCACATTAACAGCTTCTCAACTGTGAGAATATTCTGCTTTTCTGTGTTTTATGTGACTGTAAACTGAATATTTTGGTGCTTTGGACTGTTGGTCTGACCCCATCTTGACCTTAAGTTTCAGGAAATTGTGACTGTGAATTGTTTCCAACATTTTGTGACATTTAATAGACCCAACGATTGATCCGTTCATCAAAAAACAAACTGGCAGATTAACAGATTATGAAAAATAATCATTAGTTGCAGTTATCTTTTAGTTTTAGACTGTTTATCGGACAAAAAATAATAATTTGAAGATACTTTGGGCACTGAGAACATGAACATTAAACAAACAATCATTAAACACTTTGTTAGTTGGTTTTGACGTGCAGCAACCAACATATTTACATTCTCTGTCGGCCTCTGGGATTTGCATGCATGGTAAATAGTGAACACAGGCCCCATGGTGTGTTTGTAAATGAGTTTTGCGTTGCAGGTGAGGTGTGGCTCACACGAAGATTTGTCAGTGCCTGGAAGGATAGGATCTGACACAGCTAGTTTTGCCTGCAAAGAGACAATCTAGAAAGTGAGTTAAAAAATACTTCATCACCACTTTTTTTCATAACTGGGTCACGGTGCCCCAAAAGTACTAATAATGTATGTGTAATAATTGATTTATTCCAGGTTTTCCTTACAGCACTGATGTACTTTATTTACACTTTAAACACTTTATAGTGAAATACCTAAAATTCCAGGACATTTCAACAGTCTGAACTAATGAAACAGAATTGATTAATTATTGATTGATTTAAGTTATTTGGAATAAATGTACTGTACAGCAGGGTCCAGTTTAATATACTTAATGACTAAATTCATTAAAATTGTCATAGACTGATAAACCAGTAAATGTGATCTACACTGGCTGTTAATCTGGTGTTCTCACTAAAATACAAACTTGATCAGCTTTATATGCAATTACATTTTTGATTTTTGTTGTAACAGCAGTAAAATGGGTATGATGAAATTTTTACTGCTGTCACATCAAGTATGTTTTTTTTTTTTTACCCCGGTACAGGACTTTTTAACTTTTGAAAATCACAAATTTGTTAGCTGCAAACACTGACATTTTCTTCACTATCCCCTCAGTGGCAAATATGGGAAATCACTAAATGCTGCCCCCAAATTAGCTTGATGACCCAACATGACCCCACTTTCTTGCTCTAATTTCTCCTGCAGGTTTGATTGAACACCATGTCTTTCCTGCCGTCCGGTGCCCTCTTATGACCCCAATGACCTCAACGTCAGTTTTGACCCCAAACCTTTCTACAGCCCTCGAGAAAAGACGATAGCTGACCGTGTGCATAAGCTGCATTGGGGTGAGAAGTGACTGCACACGCATACAGACACAGCTGTGTTAAGTTGCATTAAGTTTGTATAATTTGATAAGCATGGCCCGTTCTCATTTGAGACTTGACCACTTAACCTGTTTGTTAAGATGACAGCGTTTTTGTGTGTGCGCATGCACGCAGTTACAAATGTTTTACAAAGGCAACTAATTAGGAGTGTCTTTAGTTTTAATTTAAATCTTTAGGTGAAGATGTAAGAATCTGTTCTCACAAAATTCATTTATAATTTAATGAATGGAACAGGGACATTATTTCACTGCTATTTTAATGCACAATGCTGTGAGCCAAAACATTCACTCTCGTTTTAGTCCACCAAATTGCAATAAATGTAAATCAAGCTAATACAATATTTGTTTTTCTGTCTCTCCAGGTGGTCTTCCAAATGCCTACCTCACGCCTAAAGAGAAAATCACTGCAACCACAGCCCTGATCAGCAGCCACCATGACATCAAGCATAGGGTGCGCTGCAACACACACACACACACAGTATGTCAGTGGATCATAAATGACACACATTGTATATGCGTTGATACAAGAAAAAAATTGCATTTAGATATACAAGTTTGCAAAAATAATTGCATAATGGCATAATGGCATGAAACTGCC